TAGAAAAATTTTTTGTAATCAGAAGTAATCATTTGTCAACTTACGGATTATTTATCTGATTTTTATCATTTTATAAAATAAGTCTCCAAGTACACGAATTACAATTTAAAAGCTAAAAAGCTTTTCAATTCTTTTTTTTTTAAATTTACTGCATTCATTTTTTTTTCACTTATTTCTTTGAGCTGCAACAATTATCAGGATTAAAGTTTTCTAATTTAGATCACGAGCTTTACGTAGATATGTGGTTAGCAAGTAATGCCGACGAGAGGAGTCAGTTAGAGGACCAAGTAGATAAGTGGCAGGGTCCTGTTCCTAATTCGGTGGAACATCTCAATGATGAACGTCGCATTAGCCTGATCTTCCATCTTTGCTCTTGGTACTTCATCGATTTCAACTCGGAGCATAACACGCCTTTAGACCCAACTCTTTTTTCATTACCTGTAGCGTTATAGTTTGCTGTAAATATGTTTTTATATGTATTGCACACTCTTTGAATTCAGTTTCAAGGGCGTGGTGATTGTAAAGTATTTTCAAATTTTATTGGAAGTTCTGATCCTCATCACGGAGGGTTTTATTAAAAAGAAAGTGGGATAGTTGTTGAAAAACGAGCATTTTTCGTAGAAAATTGTGCTTTGCTTCAACCTTACTATTACGTGGTTATTTCATCTCGTCTATAATTAATTATTTTTTGTTTTGGAAAATTCTGACTGTTATCGCATTTGAGTTTATCATGTTACTTTGGGTGGAGGTTTAAACAGCTAAAAGTGTGAACTCTTTCACTGCGACGCAAAGTGTTAGTAATTCTAGTCTTCTTAACGATATATGTATTTTTAAGACAAGACCAAATATTTCTTTGCTTTTGTTCTCTCACATCCAAAATTTTATTCCTAGCCGGTGCAGCAGTTTCTCCTAGATCCTTACTTCATTCTTCTATTTTCCGTGTTCTGTTTTCACTCCTCGCCTCGTGTTAAAAATTTTTAGGGGTCTTCTACGAGCACTTCGCCTGGGTACTTTCCAAGCATTTAAGTACATTAAAGCCTTCCGTTCGCTTTTTTTTTTCTGTCTACTCTTTCATTACTGCTTCAAATCACAGCACGTGTAGGTGAATATGTCTTCTGGTCAAAATTTACTAGTTTGTTGGAGACACAGTATTTAGCAGGCGATACAGCCTGTTTGCCAAGCTGTCTTTATCTTTTCCACAACATACTAGACTCCTCTAAGCAGGTCCACAAAAAAGTTATGTTTATTACAGAAAACTACGAATGGTAATTGTTTGGTGATTGAACATTTTTGAAGTTAACGTCCATCGTAAAGCCTAAGTTAGTTGTAAGCTAACGTTAGCGATGAAAATTGCGAGCTTGCAACGTGATGAACCTTTGGACTGAGAGAGTGGCAAAGCCTAATCACATTCCTTCAGAAACCAGTCTGTCATAAGCGTCAAGCGTGAGGAAGTCAGACAACTCAGATTCGGTGGCAAAGTGTTCGAGCAGCTCTGCAGCCTCCGGAAGCCGATTGACAACTGACCCAGCACGGATTAAACGGCTCTCTGTTTCAGCAGCAATTGTTTGCTTCATCAGATTGACGTCAATAACTCGGCCATCTTGAAAAAGAATATTTATGTGGGTCAGATTTAGTTGGGAAATGTATATTTAGTGTCCGACCTTCAAGTTTTGCTTCATGATGAAGCCACTGCCAAAGTTGCGCTCTTGATATTTCTGCTGTTGCCGCATCTTCCATTAAATTGTAGAGAGGAACGCAGCCAACGCCACGTAGCCAAGAATCGAGGTAGCCTATATTTTTGGAAGTATAATAGAAAGAACTACAATGCAGCCGTGGCAAACTTGTCGAGTACTTTTATACTTACCAATTGCCACCGAAACATTACGGCGGAAGCCGGCATCTGTTCTGGTACCTTCAGGTACAACGGTCAGATCTTGATTAGTTACTGAGAACGACGAAAGTTCTTTTGATATTTGGTTCTTCTCTGGCATGATTCTGTCAAACACTTCTTTTGCGACTGCTACCAAATCTGGGTGAGCTACCCACGTTCCATCGTGTCCTGAAAGATTTTGGCTTAACTTGCAAGATTTTAGATTGTCATGTCTTAAAGTATGATGTTTTGAGAAACCATCAGTAGATTCTCTCTCTTTGTCTTTTTGGACAAAATTCAAGGCTTTCGCGTTGGCGGACTGGTCATTCTTGATTGGGATTTGTGCTGCCATTCCGCCCATGGCTGCTATTTTACGTTTGTGACAAACCTGGATACACTGTAGTGTATAAGCTCGAAGAAATGGTGCTGTCATTGCTGAAACCAAATGCATTAATCTTTCGATCTGATTTACACAGTTTAACAGATGAGAACTACTTTTCTAAATTTCAAACAACCTTCACGAAGAAGAAAACACATTTAACCTATTTGGAACCTATCCGGCAGTAAATATTTGCGATGGTTTCGGAAAACTTTGATATATGAAAATATATAGTCCCATCGACCACAATTCAATCCAATAATGTAATCAGACAAAGCATGAATTATTTCATCCATCTAAACTAAAAAATGGCGTAACCAGATTCTCTGAAAGCTTATGATATTTTCAAATTAATTTTTTTTTGAAATTATACAAATATTTTCAATAGTGTCAAGAGAATTTCAGTTTTCATTTGATCTGTCAAACAACAGGGGTTAGAAGATACAGAAACACATTTTTATTAGTCTAACTAAATACTAGGGACTTTATTTTCTATTACGCCGATAATTGGGACTTCAAACTGTTTCTGTAACTTGTTGTATGAAGACAACTTTTTAAAGGTCTTACAATGCAGGAATTAGAAGGATTAGTGGCAATTAACAATGACCGAAATATCAGTCTATTCAAACCTGGAATGCTGCAAGCAGATGCTCTATCAGAACTGTGCATTTGATGGAGCCATGTGGAATGCCAACTCGCTCTTCTGCAAACTTGAAGACATCTGACCACAACTTAGCCTCTTCAGCATTCTGTAATTTCGGTAAATAGAAGTAAGGTCCAGAGCCTTTATCGAGTAGTGTCCGAGCATTATGAAACAGGAATAAACCGAAATCGAACAGAGAACCACTCATTGGTCGACCATTAATAAGAATATGCTTCTCCGGAAGATGCCATCCTCTTGGCCGGACATTCAATACTAAATTATTCATGTGACACGTAATCTTTTAAAGTAACAAGGATGGTGAGCTAACCTGCGTGTTCCTTATTCAATGTGTAAAGCTTCCGAGTAGCCTCATTTTTATAAGAAATTTCTTCTCTCACTGCATCATACAGGTTCATCTGACCCTCCAATTGATTCCTCCACGACGGTGTGTTTGCGTCCTCAAAATCTGCCATAAACACTTTTGCCCCGCTGTTGAGAGCATTGATCACCATTTTGCGATCAGTTGGCCCAGTAATTTCAACGCGACGATCCTTAAGGAAATATTTGTACAGATTCGACCACCTATTGTTAAGAAATAGTAATAAAGTAATAAGGGGTTTTGAAGAAGTAACTAAAAAAGTTACCAGCATGTCTTCGGGTATCTTAGCTCCTGTCCAACTTCTGTCATCACGCAACTGACGACTCGACTCTACAAAGTCTGGGAATAAGGCTCCGTCATCCAGCATGCTCTGGACCTGCTTTCTTTTTGCTAGCAGTTGCAGCCTGCGTTTGTCGAATTTCTGATGCAGCTCTTTAAGGAATCTCAACGCGTCGGGAGTTAGAATTTTTTCATCTCGTTCGACTTCTGGTGCTGTCATCTGTACAAAGTTGATTGGATTACCACTCCGCTGTCTTTAGCAAAGTGACCCCTTGACTTTCTGATTGCATACTTCCATTGATTTTCGTTACAACGTTTTGATGGATAAAAACCAATTTTAACTTGCATAAAACAAACCACAAGTATTTCATCTTCTTCCGTTTGCCTATCTATGCTGGCTCTAACTTCCTTTTCGGAATCTGAAAATTGGGCTTCTTCAGTAGATCCAGTAAGTGCGGCTGTTGAAGTTAATCCTCCAGATACTGCATTCGCTATGCTGTCAAAGTAGCCAGTACCGACTTCGCGTTGATGTTTCACCGCAGAATACCCGTACCTAAGCTAATGAAAGGTAGAAAAGGTCTGAATAGGTTAATTTTTCAAAAGATATCAAGTGAATCAGAAATTCTCCCAATCCTGCCTTTCTGAGTTGAATTCTGTTTCTTGCAATTCTGAGTAAGCAGCCATGCCATGTTCTTTATATTTACGTGCGAGATCATACACGCTGAAACTATTACAATGGAAACCAGCTAGTGTGATAAATTGAAATTTGTAACCCATAGCACCAAGTTCTTTCTGGAACTTCTCCATATCAGAAACCCTAAAAAGCAAATGATTAATATTTTGGAGGGGACCTTTTCTTTCGCTGAATACAGTTAGACCGTTACCTTAGATGTTTACGCCAATTGAACGACGGTGAGCAGTTGTAGGCAAAGAGTTTGTTTGGGCACTTTTTCCTAACGCCTTCCGCAAATTCCTTCGCGTCACTAAGAGTCGGATGTGAGGTTTCCATCCAAATGAGGTCACAGTATGGTGCATAGCTTATTGCGCGTTTTATGGAATGTTGAAGACCGGTCGCTTCTTTCAATCTAGCATTTAATTCATGTATTAACTTAGCTGAATTAGGGGAAAAATTTCATTTTATTTTGGATACTAAACGAGTACCTGTAAAAGCCTTCAACAGTACGGCCAGCTTCATAGTCAATAAACTCCTTGTCTCTTTCGTCAATGTCACTAAAAAGAGTTGGTTAAGAATTTTTCATTCTTCTTAACAAACAACTGTTCTACCAGTTCTGATATTACTTGGTAATTAGACGAGCACTTTCTGCGTCTGTCCGCGCAACTATAATTGTTGGAACTCCACAGACGTCAGCAGAAAGTCTCGCTGCGTTCAGGTGTCTTATGTGTTCTTCTGTAGGTATGAGAACTTTTCCCCCCATATGCCCACACTTCTTTTCACTACCTAGCTGGTCTTCGAAGTGAACACCGGCAGCACCAGCTTCAATGTATGCCTAAACTTGAATATTATTATTAACAACATATGAAAATTACGTGATTACTAGCAAATTAAAAATTTTACTTTCATTATCTCAAAACAGTTTAGTGATCCACCAAATCCAGCTTCAGCGTCTGCTACAATTGGCACGTACCAATCTCTGGATGACCGAAAATCTTCAGACTCAACAGCTTCTATCTGTAATCAGTAGAAATGAAAGAAGCATTGTGGAATGACATTATATAACTTCTTCTGTCGCTATTTTAAGTGGTAGTAATAATTCCTTTTTTTAGACGCTAAATCAGCTTGGTCTAGTCGAAGGCTCTTTAATGTGTTTAAACTTTGAAAAGCTAGGCATAATCAAATCTTTACTTGATCTGCGCGACGTAAAGCTTTGTTGATCTTTCTGGCAAGCTCAGGCCCAGAATTTGCTGGGTAGAGAGATTGATCTGGATACATATCGCCAGCCACATTGGCATCAGCAGCAACTTGCCAACCTGTAATTGAAACGAACTGAATTTCAAAAATTTTTATGAGAGAGGAAAAAAGGAGGTTTTCTACAGTAAAAAATGGCTTGCCTGAAAGATATATTGCATTCAAACCAGCGCGGACCATCTGTACTGCTTGATTTCCAGTTTGAGCTCCGAGTGCAGCAATGAAAGGTTCTGTGTGCAACAGTTGCCATAACTTATTAGCTCCTCTACTCGCTAGTGTGTATTCAATTTCTATAGATCCTTGTAGCTTGAGAACATCTTCAACCTTATAGTTCCGTTCAATTCCAATGAAACGTCCTTTTGGAGCACTCTTGACGATCTAGAATCAACCAGAAGTTTGTACAACGAAAAAAGTAGCAGTCTTTCAGAAGATAACCTAAGTTTAAAAATAAAATAACATAAATTTTATTCGCAAAAATTGAAATGTTTTTGAAGTTTCCTGTGGCAAGAACAGCACAACTTTTGTAGTGAGATTTTACAGCAGATGCATCATCCTGAATCGTTTAGCAATGACTGGTTCAGTAATTTGGGAGGGATAATCTAGTTTTTACATCTTATATATTAAGAACAAGTATCAGTTGCATTTAAACAGTTGAAACCAACCGTGTAGAAATTCTTGTTTATAATTCGTGACATTGCAACCAATTCTGATTTTTGATACAAATACAGATGTCTTTTCCTAAATCACAATCAAAATGATTCAGTATTAGATTTGCTGTTAAACAACGGTTATCGTCTGTTTATTAAGCACAGTTATTGAATTAAGCTCTAAATTCCAATTTTATGCTTTTTAAGAATTATGTCTTCTTTTTCGGTCAACCAGTAAACTTTTCAAAAAATGTTCTTTCTAAAAGCACTGTTATATAGTAATATTACAAACCAAAAAAAAAAAAAGTTAAAAAATGACAAAGGCAAGTTCTTCTGACTGATCCACAGCTGTAAGCAATGGAGCGCTGTTGGAACAGTTCAAATTTAAGAATAAACCTATTTTAATTTGTATAATTGTATGATGCTATAAGGCGCAATAAAGACACAATGACAATTGCAGAAGCACAGGAATCAAAGTATCAACAGCGTCAAAGTCTTATAATTCAATGTATGATCAGTGCCAATTTGATACACTCAATTCTACTACCAGTTTGTTGATCTACCTTTTGCCAAGTTGCAGACTTTCTTTTTCTAACTTTTAATTTTTTTTTGGCAAACTTTCATTAAATTTGTATTAAACCTTTGAGGAAATCAATTTAACTTTGATAAAGTTGATCAACAACAAACTGATTTTGCCGAAGAGCGAGCAGCTGAACAGAATGAAACAACTTTTACTGAAGGTCTGTCTTTGTTTTCAACATTTCTGTAAACCAAAAAATTTGCCCTTCAGTATTGATTTTTTTTTTGTCAAACTTACCAAGAAGTATTCTACAGTTTAACCGTATAGTTGGATAAAACAAACGGAAAAAACTAGAATTTAAGTTTACTAAAATTAAGAAAGACGAAGAAAAAAAAAAAACTTGACCTTTTCTTATAAAAGTTCTTAACAAAAAACAATTTTTTTTCCCAGAGAAATATACGATGGATAACGAATAGCAAAAGTTCATTGAAGCAGTTGCTGGTAACTGCCTGTCTGTGGTATCAGTTTAAACACTTACTAAAGCTGTTAAGTTGAACTGTAGTTTAAAAAGAAAAAAAAATATTTTTTCTTGCTTCTATTTCAGTATCTGTTGTCTACAATTAGCAATAATTTATCTTCAGTTCTTTTAATCTGCTACAGTGGAGTTGTTTGTAAGCAACAAACCGAAAACCACTCAAAAATCTTGCCATTTTCACAGCCGCCCTTTTCACTGTTTCTGATCTTTTACCCTGATTAGTGTTGAAGTTTTATTCAATTGATCATTGAAAATAGATCGAACATCTAACAGGTAAATTCAGTCTTTTTTTCTGTACTGCTAACATTAAAAAAAAGAAAAACAATAAGAACAACAAAAAATATATATTATATTAAACAGCAACAGAAATAAATGATATGGTTTGTCTGAAATAAGATTTTGTCAACTGATCAAAGTATACAGATGCAAATAACGACGATGACAGTAGCAATAATAAATGAACTAGAATAGCATTCACTTTCCTCTGTTTTATTGAATAGTTCAGAAGAGATGCTAAAAAAGAAAAGCATTTTTAAATTCAAAATAAATTCTTTTTTTTTTTTT